TTTTGACTATTTTTTTCTATGACTATATGCTTTTCTTAAGCCTATACACATTGTTAAATACACTGTAACCTATTTATAGGTTTTTCCATCTGCATCTATATTATTGCATATCTTTTAGCCTTTTTGACCATGTGAGCAAACCTATTAGCTGCTAAGCAGCATGGACTTCTGACTGCAGTTTTGTCAGCTGGCTCTGCCCACTTCTTAGGCATGAAAGCCAGGCCCAAAGTTTAGAGCCCATTCAGAGGTTCATGACCAAGAACTCCATTAAACATTCCTAGAGCTCTAAAATACCTATACTTGCACAGCGGCAGGTGTTTTTTACTTAGTTTTTTGTTTCTGCTTAAATGTACTAAGTGCTCAAGGCCTCACTCTCCCACAGAAACTATTGAAGGTGACATATCTGCTCTTTTTTCCCCCAAAGCTTTCTTAGTCCCTATGGAAATAAGGCCCACGTTGGAATGCCAAAATATTGTTGGTTTGCCAAAAAAATCGTTGGGTTTCTCTTTTGGGGGGCCCACTATCCAGCTCCCAAATAAATCACACATGGAGGCTTATTCTTTTTTTTTTCATTTTTCTTTAATAAGAAATTTTCTACTCACTCTACATACCACCCAAAGATTCCACCTCCTCCCTCCTCCCACCCCCCAGCCCTCTCTCCCAAGCCACTCTACATCCCCACATCCCCCAAATCAAGGTCTCCCATGGGGAGTCAGCAGAGCCAGGCACACTGAGGCTAGGCAGGTCCAAGCCCCTTCCCACTGCACCAAGGCGTTGTAAGGTGTCATACCACAGGCACCGGATTCCCAAAAGCCTGCCCAGGCACCAGGGACAGATCGCAATCACACTGCCTGGGTGCCCCCCAAACAGTTCGAGCCAAACAACTGTCTTCTGTATCTAGATGGCCTAGTCCAGTCCCATGGGGACTCCACAGCCATTAGTCTACAGTTCATGGGCTTCCACCAGTGTGGGCCGGTCATCTCTGCACATCTTCCCATCATGATCTTGATATCCCCTACCTGCAGAATACCTCCTCTCTCTCATCGATTGGATTCCCGGAGCTCAGCCTGGTGCCTGGCTGTGGATCTCTGCATCTGGGAGGCTTATTCTTAATTATAAATGCCCCAGCCTTAGCTTGGCTTAGTTTCTTGCCAATTTTTCTTATCTTTAAATTATCCCATATGTTTTTTGCCTCTGGGTTTTTGCTTTTCTTACTTCTGGCTTGATGTGTAGCTGGATGGCTGGGCCCTGGAGTCCTCTTCCTTCTCTGGCTAATTCTTTTTCCCCCTCAGATTTCTCCTTTTCTTTCTACTCCCTGCCTGACAGCCCCACCTATCCTCTTTCTTGCCTTGCTATTGGCTATTCAGCTCTTTACTAGACCATCAGGTGTTTTAGACAGGCACAGTAACACAGCTTTACAGACTTAAACAAATGCAACATAAACAAAAGTAACACACCTTAAAATAATATTCTACTATGCTAAACAATGGACGAAGTACACTTAATTCCAGATTCCAAAGGGACCAATGGACCCAGGATACACCTCTCAGACCACAGACCCAGCCAATCCTTCAATCCCTTAACAATCACATCACTGCCTCCCACTCCCCCTATGAGAGTTCTCAACAGTGTCCAGCCAGGCAGCTTCATGGACCTCCTACTGTGAACTTGCTCAGGAGTGACCAACTCCTAAAATGAACCTGCCTTTTACTTTTTAATTTGGCTCAAGTAGATTTCTTGCAGCAGTAGGCAGATAAGCCATTCAATTGGTGTGGAAGACTACAGGTGAAGTTACCCCATGCTAGGCAGGCTGGGTTCCAGGGCCAATCCTCCTCTCCTTTGTTCATCTCTGGCTTTCTACCTGATCAGATCTACTGGTAAGCTGTCCTTTCTGGCTAGCTGCAGGCTTCTGGTGCCTATTTGGTGTTTTTATGACAAGATTGCAGCTGTACCAGAAAAAGCCCACATTGAAACAAAGGCAGTCTTGTTCAGAAGGGTCTTGGTGCTTTGAGCAATGCCTCCTCCCTAAGTCTTCTCCGCCTATTAATCTGACCTCAGGGTACCACAGATGATGCTCTGAGCTAACCTTGGTTTTATACTGTAGCTTTCAAGAATGGGGTAGCTTTGGGAGATGCATGACTCCAATTTAAAACCCAATCCTCAGTCACTCCCAGGGTATCTGCTGTGATATTTGTCCAAATTGGGACTTTCCCAGGCCATATGCTGAAGCCACTGGTTTCTCTTGTTTCTGTGATGTGGCTACAGTATACCTTGGATGAGTCCAAGAGGCCACTATTGTGCCCAAAGTCCAGATCCCCAAAAGATCACCAAGAGACTGAATCTGACACAAAAACAAAGTCTTTAATATGAGTTAATTCAGGCCTCTGTCCAACTGCTGCAGCAGCAGAGCTGGAGAGACCTCAAGCCCCATGGTGCAAGGGTTTTTACAGTGGCTGGATGGTGGGGGGAGGGAGCGCCTTGGGGAATTCCAAGACTGCCCATTTACAGACCTGGGATTGGCTCAAGACCTGGTTAGGGGTACCTGGACTGTGCTGATTGGCTCTCTTAGGTCTAGAGAATTGCAACATTGTAGCTTCAGCACTTGGAGTTGTCTATCTGCTTCTGACTGCCCCTCCACAATGGGTGAGGTATTCCTGGCTCCTGGTAGGCCCTTCCCTGTGGGGTGAGTTGTTCTGATTGGCCCTTTCTATGGGGTTGGTGTTATATAGGGCAAAAGGTTAGAGGCAGGCAGTCACTGCCTCTGATTGGGCCTTGTGTGGGGTGAAGAGTTCATGACTCTCTCTGTAACTAGGGCAAAAGGTCAGAGGCCATCAGGAGGTCAGGAGTTTGGCCTTCCTGCTCAGGCCTTTCTGCTATGCCTGCAATTCTGCTGAGACCTAGGTCTCTCACCACCAGATGGCACCCTTGACTTGAACATCCTTCATGATTTAGAACTTTTTTTTGCAAATTTTCTATTTTGTACTTGCAAGTGAGCTATGCTCCCTTAGGTACATGGATTCTGGTATTTACATCCTGGTCCCTTCCTCTGAAGCCAGTGCTCCATGGCTTAGGTTCTGCTGGCCAGGGTCAAGGAGCCTCAGTTGTGCTTTCATTTGGAGGGACTGACCCTGAGCCTCAGCCCTAACTGAGCCTTCTGAATCTCCTTGGCCTCTGCCAGTCCTGTCCCCTTCTCTGGCTTTTCTCTTACTTTGTCCACTCAACACACCCTGTCCCCACTGGCAGCCCTAAACCCCTTTATTCACCACTTCCAGCTTCTACACAGAAACCCAAGGCCTCACCTACTCCCTGCCCCTGACTCCTTCTCTTCTTCCATCACCAATATCTCTACCCTCTGACCAAAACCTCACTATGTGCCAGCCTTCACACCAGCACCTAGACTCTTCTCTTCCTGGTCACTCACAGTAGTCCACATCTCCAGGGGCCTCCCACACAGGATCCCAACAGAACCGTGCTCACCTCCCTCCCTTCCAGGCGGTGGTTAGAGTCAAAGGTGTCTTCTGGATTCATTTTCCCTTCTCCCTCCAGTATCTTGCTAACATGGAACAATGGTTGGGCTCTTTCTCCACTATTCCCTGTGCCTACATAGCAGAGTTCCATCACCTACTCACATCTATGACTTAACCTAGCATGATCTCTGAGTTATTCTCTCCCCACTCTTACACTTGAGAAGCCTGAGAGAGTCCAGGCAATGGCCAGAGAGTATGCAGAGTGGAGCCATTTGACAGATCCTACCCTGGCTGGGACTACCAGCAGGGACAGGAGGTCCACCTGAGGAGGGATGTTATGATTTGTTGCCTCCTGAAAGGCATGGAGACAATTTCTAAGAAGTTAGTAAACTTTGATAGACTCTCCAAGGTTACCCAGCAAATGCATGAGAACCCAGAAGTTTTTCTTTACAGATTACCAAGAGGCCATGACTCTGTACACCTAACTTGATCCAACCTCACAAACAGGAGCTGCACTACTGGCCTCTCATTATATTTCCCAATCAGCTCCAGACATATGAATCAAACTCAAAAATTTGAGTACAGTCCCAAAACCATACTTAGGAACTGGTGAAGGTGGCCTTCAAAGTCTTTAATGCCTGAGACACAGTGACCAGTCTTCCCCACAGGTTCTGGAGTGATAGAACCTTACCCACCTTACCCAAGCCCCAGTTGTGACCCTAAGGCCAACAACATCCCTGCAAATGGGTCAGGGGAGATTTCCCAGACTATCCCTAGGGCAAAGTCAGTTCCACTGGGAGCCTGCTTCTGATATGGAAAGGAAGACCACTGGTCCATGCCCACTAATGAAGCCATGCCATCTCAGCCTGTGACCTGGCCACTGGAAATCAGAGTGTTCCAATGGGAGCTTGATCCCTGTGCCATGCCACAGAGGCCCAGCCTCACCATCGGGGGCATTTCAAACTCAGGCCATTGAGCTTCTCAGTTTGGCAGAAGACTGATGGCACCCAACTTCAGAGACCCCCTTTACCCTATTCAAGCCTAAGGTGATGCTCCAATTAACAGGTAAGTCCACCATCTCCCTATTGGGCAGAGGGGCTACCTTTCCAGACCTCACCTGCACTATGGCTCTACAGTCCCTTCACTAGTCTCAAATACAGCGGTTCAGATACAGTTCATATTAGATTTTAAAATACCAAAACTGTAACTCAGTACAGTGGATATCATTTTGTCATGATGTTAGTATTATATAATGAATTTTTATAAAGTGTTTCAACATGATAATTGACACAAATAACATGTTTACCAATGAACTGTGATGTTGATCAAGTAAAAAAAATAATAGCTGGATATTCACACAGTAACAATCACAAAGAAAACATGCTTACCACAATTTCCTTTTTTTTTTTTTTTTTTTGTAAACTCGAGTAATTCAATCATCTACCCATTGAAAGGCATTAGGGTAATTTCCAGTTTTTTTTTTTTTTTTTTTGTAAACTCTTCCCAAATTGATGTTTTCATTAGATGAAGAAATATCAGTGAGGTTACACTAGAATTATTGGTGCAAATGGGGACAGAAGGATTTAAAACCTGTACATTTAAAACCTTGAAGGAAGTTAAGAGATTCACAGCTCTGGTCTTTGGGTGAATTCTTTGGCTTCAGGTTTAATAGTCCTAGCACATGTGGGGAGGGGAGCTGCTGTGGGATATCTTTGTGTATGCTGTGAATATGTGTTGCTCCCATTGGCTAATAAATAAAGGTGACTTGGCCTGTGGCAAGAAAACTTACAGCCAGGCAAGAAATCCAAGCAGAGATACAGAGAAAGGGAGGGTGGAGTTGAAATGCCAGCCTGCTGCCAAAGGAGCAACAAGATGCCAGCAGACTGGTAATGCCACCGCCACGTGGCAACATATAGATTAATAGGAATGGGTTAATTTAAGATGAAAGAGCTAGCTAGCCAGAAGCCTGAACCACACTGAAGCCATGCAGTTTGCAACTAATATAAGCCTCTGAGTGATTATTTTATAAGTAGCTGAGGGACCGCGGGTGGGAGATATTCATCCTAACCGCAGGGCCGGGGAGGACCAGAGATATTTCCATCTACAGGCAGCTCCTGGATGGCCTTGTTGATATCAAGATAATTTATGTAGTCACTTGGTCTCACTGACAGGAAGGTAGAATTTTGAAAGTCACTCATTCTGATGGTATATCAGTTCTCATTTCCTATGTAGAAAAAATACTAAATATAGATTAATGATAAGAGTGATGAGTGATCAAATAGACCTTTCAGTGAGCATAAGAACACATTAAAATGAGTTGCATGTTTCATCTGGCTCCTGGAGTCCTCAGAGAGGAATCTTTAGTAAAGCAGGTATCTAAGTACAGGCTTTAAATTTCAGAGGATAAAATTTGAACATGTTGCCTAGTTACAAATCATGTAGAGATGTGCAAGAGCCTTATAGTTCTAGACTAATGATTTCAGCCATGTGCCTTCCATATGTCAAAGAGTTATGAACAAAGAAAATATATTAATTTCTTGTTGACTATTATCATTTCAATAATTTAACAACATACGTTAAAATGGCTGTGATCAGTATTTTCTCCAACAAGATTTCTGACAGACTTACAGAGATAGCTCATTTCCCATTGTAAGTTCTGAAGCCAGGCTTCTCAAGTGGAGTGGAGTGGTTTTCTTTACGCTTTTCTTCCACTGTTTTCCACAAGACAACTATCAGGGAAAAGTCACAGGATACTAGAAACACAGAAGCCCCTGCAAAGCCACATTAACAAGACAGAAGACCATGCACTCTCTTGTCTCCATTTACATGCATAATACTTGGTTTATTGTTTCGTGCTTTTAGTCACTTCCTATACAAAGAATTTTCAAAGATCCTGTACTGTCAAAATGGCTTTCCTTTTTTACAGGAAGTCTCCTTTCCTCGTTTCTCATTAATCACTGATGAAACTGGGAAGCTCTTGCTTTTCTCTTCCTTGTAGAACAGATGCTATGCATTTGGGACAAAAACTACAGCACCGATGTAGGGTTTTTCCTACAGAAATGATTGGGGTCCAGGAAGCTCAGAAACATCTACAGATGATACAGAAACATCTACAAGGGCACCAGGATAACATTTAATGAAAACATAAGAACTCAAGTGTATTTGCATTGAGAAAGGAGCCTGTGCTCTTTGGTGTTATGTCAGCCTAATAGAACCCAGAATCATTTGGGAAGAAAAATTCTCAATTGAAAAAATGCCTTATTATTGTCTGATCTGAAGGTAAATCTGTGGTTCAATTTCTAAATAGTGATTATCTTTGACCTGCATGGCTTGGGTCCTGGGAATTTCTCTAGGAGTTGTGAGGGAATGAAGAAAATACTAACCCAGAGATATACATACAGTATAGCTAGGGAATTTTCTAACCCTCCACAACTCAGACCCTCAGCATATTTATTAGGTACACCACAAGTGTAGGGGTTAGCTCATCTCCCAGGAGGTCTCTGAAGATGACCACTTTCAAGCTGTAAACACCCAGGAGGAGGAAGCTGCAGCTGATTGTCTTGCATACCCTGGTCAATAAACACTCAGACAAAGACTCCCAACGAAAGCTGTGCTATTTCTCTGGAGCCTGGTCCATGTAAGGAGACAGATTTGCTGATTATCCCATGTGTCCAAGTCTTTGAAATCTTCAACATGGTCATGGCTTTGTCATAAAACACATTCATCCCAGAATCCTCTAATTCACTAATTCAGGGAATCCTCTGTGCCCTACAGTAATTAACGTGGGAGGCCCCATCCAATGTCGATGGTACCTCTTCTACACTGATGGTCCTTGACACTATAAGAAAGAAGATGGAGCAAAGTAATGTAGACCAAGACAAGTAAACAACAATTCTGCATGGCTTCTGCATCAGCTCCTGCCTCCAGGTCCCCAGCATGTTTGAGTTCTTGCTCTGACTTTCTCAGAAGTGCACTCTTCTTCTCCATTCTTCTCCAAGTACATTTGGTCATGGTGTTTTTATCACAGCCATATAGAACCTAACCGAAACAGAGCCACCATGATTGACAGATTATAAGGAAATCTCAAGCTAGACATGGTGCACAAAGCTGTTCTGAGTCTTGATGTCAAGATAAAAATTTTATAAAATTAATACACATATTAAAATAAAATAAATATAGTTCTAGTTTCTGTCTGCTCTTTCCATGTGTATGTCGTGGGTACTATTTCTATTTTTAGACTGACCAGATATTGTTGCATGCAGAGATCTTAAGGTGTGCAGTTATCCACAGCCAGATGGAGAATAAGTGTTTGCAGGGTCCATAACTACAATTGGTATATCTATAAGGCAATTTCTATATCTAAAGTTAGTCACCTTTCTGGGAGAGTAAGAAGAAAGCTTGTAAAAGCCAGAGAACCCACACCTTTTCTAGGAGGTCCTGTCTTCAGTATATGAGAGGAAGGCTGCACCTGAAATTTCAACAATATAATTGCCCCAATGAGACTTAAAAATTACAGCACCAATTGAACTGCCACTATGGATGGGTAAATCTCACAAAACTCCACACTTAGATGAAGAGCTAAAGACAGTCAATGGCTACTCAGAGGGAGAATCAGTCTCCCCCAGGGATAAGATAATTAATGGTTTGTTTTATCCTGTCCCAATTGTTCATCTTTAAACACACATTTTTAAATGTGTTTTTTTCTCCCTGCCCTTCACACACACACACACACACACACACACACACACACACACACACACCCTCCCCCCCCCCAAAAAAAAACCCAACCAAACACAAAAACAAGATTAATTTTTAGAGGTCATGAAATTAAAGAGGAGTGAAGAGGATGTGGGAAGGGATGAAGAGGCCAGATGAAGGGATGGGAATTATGTAAATACAATATTCATGTATGAAATTCTCAAATAGATGTAAATTCAAGAAGATTTTATCATATACTTGGATGAGGGTCAAGACTCACTAACTAGTATAAATATTTTTTAAATGTGTGAAAGAATATTTCATATGATATTTACATTTGAGGGTATTAAAGCTTAAGAGAAACAATGAAAACTTTAACAGTTTTGGGTTACATTTTTTTAACTCAATCAATGCCTCCTTAGGTTTCTCAGATGCTTACTCAGGAGTGGGCATGGCACTTCTTCCTGCCTAGAAGAAAACCACAGTTGATAATCTTCCTCAGCATTCTGGAAAACAGAAGAACCAAAAGTCATAATGTACCTTCCCCAGTACACACTTTAAGTACACATTTTCTTTCCTCTTCCACATCTCTAAAACTGGAAAGTCTGAGGCAGGCAAAAGTAATTCTGTTCTGTGTAAGAGGAGGCTGCCGTTAAAATTAACAGTGGTGAGTTCAGTGGTCCCTGTTCTCTGTGAGAATCTTCAGATTCCTGCCTTTTCATTTCTGGTAGAACAGATTTGTCAATGCAAACTGTATTCTTTTTACTACATTTTTGTGACACTGGGAATAAGAAATCACTCCATGCCATTTACAAGCAAGAAATTGTCCCTGTCACCCATGTCCCTAGAGGCCTTGGAGAAAATTGAGCTTTGCTATAATGTGTTCCTGTGCAGACAACTTATTACCCCAGTGCCACGTGCCCACCATGTCTATGATGACTGAGCAAAGCTAAATTTAAAAGCCTTGGAACATCAGCAACCTGAGTAAAGGAGATGAAAACTAGGGAGTCCTTGTGGGGGAACTAGAACATGAAATCAGCATTTCACCTTCATTCTGAGAATCCCTGTCCTCCAAAGAGAAAGGACAAGTTCTAACTTTTGTAATAACCCAGAAGAAAAAACACAAGATACAAAACATATTTACACTGGGATCCATTTAAAACAACCAAATATAAGTTATGTAGTAGCTATTGAATTGTGTCAGAGCCCCACATGAGGTACCAAAGGAAATGCATTAAGTAGAGTTATGGCTTATTAATAATTTGTTTACTTTTGATTCCTGATAAAAATAATTACCTTTATATGCAGAGTGAAGTCCCATTCATGATATTATGATAGTAAATGACTGTACTCCTACACATACATGTATACACACACACTAAAATTAAAATGAATGGCCTATATTTAAGGTCATTTTCAAAATGTGTTTCCCTCTTTACCAGTAATTTCAGGCATCATCTATTAGATCCTTGATACAGGTATTCAGAGGACACAGCTCTAGTGATATAGTCTAGATGAAATTGTATATCAAACCTATCATTCTGTAATTATTAATTTGAAACCTTGTTATTAAGAAATAAATCAGTATCAAAAATGTCTACATGACAAAGAAGATATAGAAAAAGTGGCACCAAAGATATCTAATGTAAAATTGTATTGACAACTTTACACCATGTTCATTGTGTGTATACATATATTTACAAACAATTCATACAATTCATGTATACATGCATTTCATATCTCTCTCTCTCTCTCTCTCTCTCTCTCTCTCTCTCTCTCTCTCTCACACACACACACACACACACACACACAGGGTTTATTGTGCTCTAGCAGTACAAATGCACTTCACATGCTGCTCATTGATTCAACATAAAGGTTGGAGAAGCCATCCTAAAAAGAGAAGAAACTGAAAACATTGGTGCTAAAATCAGGAACAAGACAAGTCCATTAATATCACTTCTCAATGTAATTCTTGCGATTTCAGCTAGAGCAATAAAACAAGGGAAGGAGATGAAACAGAAACAAATGATAAAGGAAGAGGTCAACATATATTTCCATATGAAAAGTTTCTATATATAAAAACATAGCATGCAAAAACAAAACACCTCCTAGAGCAGATAAATATTCAGAAAAAGTAGCAGGATACAAAATTAAAACACAACTATCAGCATTCTTCTTCCATGCAAATGACAAAAAAATAAATCAAGAAGACAATTCTATTCTCAGTAGTCTAATAAAATAAAACAACAACAAAAACCCTTGAAATTGATTTGATCAAAGAAATAACCGGTTTGTGCAATGAAAACATTAACACATTGAAAAAAGTAATTGAAGATACCAGCATATGAAAAGACCTCCCATGCTCATAGATTGGCAAGATTAATGTGAAAATGGCCAACAAAAAATTTAAAAGTAATTAATTATTTTTGAGTTTCATATGGAAATACAAATGACTGAAGATATCCAGAACAAAAGTAAATATTAATCATCATTAAAACAACTACATGCTGGGGGTATTATTACAAAAGATCTCAAGTTATGCTGCAGTGCAATAATAAATACAAAAACTGATCTGGGAGAAAAACAGTCACCCACAGAATAGAATTAATGTCTTCATACAAATCCATATTGCTACAGCCACCTGATTTTTGACAAAGAAGGCAACCATTCACATTGAAGAAGATACAGCATCTTCAATAAATAGTGCAGTACAAACTTAATCACTACATGTAGAAAAATGAAATTTGATCATTGTCTCTTGAACTACACAAAACTCTCTGGTATCCTGGATCTTATATAGGAGGAAATTAGAAATACATGCAAACTCATTAGCACAGGAAAATACTTTCTGAACAGAAAGCCAGTAGTGCAGACATAAAAACCAACAAGTAATAATTGGATTCTCATGAAACTAAGAAGTTTCTGTACAGCAAAAAGATACCATCATTTGACCAAAGATACAGCCTACAGAATGGGAAAATATCTTTTCCAGTTCTTATACAGTGAGTGTCTAGAATACATAAAGAACTTTTTAAAAAAGATCAAAAAAGTAAATGACCTATATAAAAATAATCCTCAAAACATGTTATACAAAAAAAACTACTTTTTAAAATTTTAACATCATTTGCCACCTGAACAATAAAAATTAATTGTATTTTAAGTTTTCATCCTGCCCTAATCAAGATGGATAAGATAAAAACTCAAATGATGACAAATGCTGATGAAAATGTTGGAAAGGTGGAACACTTATTCACTCCTCGTGGGAATGCAAATCTGTACAACCACTATGGAAATTGGTGTGCCAGTTGCTCAAAAAGAAAGAAATAAACCTACCACATGGTTCAACTATACTATTCTTTGATAAACACATGGACTCTCAACCTACTTTACAGATACCCCTGATCATTAATGGTCATCTGTGCTCTCCTCTTCATAGAAAAAACATCTATATGTTCATCAAATGATGAATTGATGAGGAAGGGTGTGTATATATTCTCAGCAGAATATTACACAACCATGGGGAATAAAAATTTGATCTTCACAGATAAATGCAATGAGTAGGAAACAAGCACTTTAAGGTAACCCAGACTCAGACAGACAAAACCCACACATTTTCTCTTCTCTGTGAATGTTAAGACTCTTTACACCAGGTAGTGGTGGCACATACCTTTAATTTCAGCACTTGGGAGGCAGAGGCAGGCATATCTATGTGAGTTTAAGGTTAGCCAGGTCTACAGATCTAGTCCCAGGACAGTCAGGGCTACACAAAGACATTCTTTCTCAAAAACCAAAATAATAAACAAAGACTCTTCAGATATGTGTGTTTAATTAGAATGACCACTAGAGATCAATAAATTACTAATTGGTAATATGGAGGCATGGTCTAGGGAAGAGATATAGAATATGCTAGTACATTGGGTTATGGGGGAACAATGTATGCAGCAGGAAGGGTTAAGTGGGTGGGAAGCTGAAGGTAAGGCAGACAAGGAAGTATGGGAAAGGACAAATAACACTAAAGTCTATCCAAAAAAGTCACGAAAAGCCACTTGTGCAGAACATTCATGCATACTAGGTCTTGAATGATTGTTTAAAAGGACATAATTGAGTCCTATAGTAGTTGGATTGCAGAAGCCCCTCTCCATCCCTTTCATTTCAGTCTGGATAGACTACACTTAGTCCTGCTGGAGCCTGCATTCAGGAGCTGTTCCCTCCACATAACCTCCATGCCCTGAGGATTTCACCTTTGGTACTGGTATAAAAGTAGACATGTTGACTGATGGACTTAGAGTTAATATCCAGGCATAAGTCAACACACCTACATTCTCATGATTTTTCCAAAAAAAAAAAAAAAAGCCAAAAACACACAATGAAAAAAAAAAAAAAGAGATAACCTTCAGCAAATGGTACTAGGCCAACCAAACAGAATCATATACATCATCCTGCCAAAAACTAAACTCCAAAATGAGAGCACATTCCCTGGGTCTGATAGAAGAAATGTGAATATTACACTGAATTATAGGACAAAAGTAATTCTCAGTAGCATCCAGCTATGAACTCTGCAATCTAAAACTGTGACTTTCCTGGAAGTTATACTGGTGAAATAGGGTATATATGATGGAGTTTTTGATTGATTTTAATGCTTACTCCAGGAAATGGTACCCATAAATGACACTGATAAAGTAACCAGGATCTGAGAGTAGATAAATCATAGGCCTTTAGGAAAACTGACTACTAGTATTCTGTTACAAGAACATAAAATGACTCCTAATGACATATTGCTATACCTTACATAAACACATCAGTCAACCTTCATCAGAAATGCTTCTTCTTTCAGTTTATTGTAAGAAGAAAGAGATACCCAACTGGAAAATGTGCAGAAAGTGAGACACTTTGGAGCACTTAGTTCTAAATGGATGTCTTCATCAAACCCCTCCCCACTTCATGGCTCAGGGATTTATAGAGATTAGGAGTCAGAAAGAGGTGACAGATGATTCAGAAACAGTGTCTTCCATACATAACAGGGATGATGAACACACAGATAGTGACAGCAGGTTGAAGCAAGATGGTGTTTCAGCACTGAGAATGGGAAATAGACGGAAACTTCCATCCATTACCACAAAGCTGTCTACTATTACACCAGTTGCCAAAGGGAAGAACAGTTTCCTCCAATGGAATGTTACCAGGTGTATCAACCACACGCCAGGGCAGGCCCCATTCCAGGGAGTAATTGGCCACCACAGAACAAAATCAACAGAAATGTTGTGGACTTCTTGTTTTATTTTACTTTGTTTTGGCATTTTGCCTTAATGGCCTTTTTTTAAAAATTTTTGTTCATGTAGTGAAGTGTGTATCTGTTTCAAGTGGAGAGATTGTTGCTTGGTTTTTTATTTGTTTGTTTATTTATTTGTAAGAGAGAAGGGGAGAGAAAAAATCTAAAGCTGGGTATGTAGGGAGAATCTGGAAGAAACAGGGGGGGGGGAAACATGATCAAATGTTATGAAAAATG